GTGGGGGGATATGTAATAACATGTGAGTACGTGGTGGAAAGCAATTAAAATTTAATTACACGAATATTTCTAATGCTTCGTTAGTCCCTTTTTTTCTAAGCAAATTGTGTCGATGAAGGTCTAAAACTTCTAGATTTACAATTAATTGATGCTTAACATTATTCAAAGCCTTACAGTGCGCCGAAAGAACTTCAAGGAATGAGGCATTGTTTTAGGTTTCATGAATAAAACATTGAAGCTGGCAGTTCCTGGATTGTTTGAGGAAATCGTCAAAAAGTTGTTCTAAAAGCCTCAAACACAATAAATTTACATAATTTAATATTTTGGACAAAGACCATCAGTTCTAATCTTAATTCCCACTGTTTGTTTCCCAGGAAGTAGAGGTTGTTTCAGAATGCTATCAGGGCTGCTGGGGTAATAATATAGATTGTAAAGCCCATAGAGCTTGCTGTTGAGCAGAGATTTGCACTATACAAATGCTGTCTATTATTCTCTATCCTTGAATGTTTTTCTTCTTTCTCAAGCTGGCCTAAGTATCTCGATCACAGTCAGACAGGCTATATCTACAACAAACAGGGGATGGATGCACACACTCACACACACACATCATGGCAACTACTAGGGTGACAACAGGTTTATATGGTCGCTTTTAAGGACAAGCGGGTTAACCCAGATTTGGGGGGGTTCCAGAAATCTTGACCTACACAAAAGTGGGCATTGCCTAACCAATGGAAGAAGTGTGGTTCCATTGGTGTGTATATTTGTTTGGTTATAGTGAAAAAATCCTTGCCCTTCATAGAAACTGAACAAGGGGCAAAAACTTTACCTGCGATTTTCTAAAAACAGCATTTTTCAGGATAGCCCCCTTGTGCTTAAGAGCGACCATATAGAGAGAGCAAAGGTGTTTATGAATTCATCATATCGAAGGCCAGTTGTTCAGTTGATGTACTATGTACAACATTTCGATTTTTAAAAGTATTGCAATTTTTTTTAAGCTGTGGCATCCGTTGCAAGTGTTCGAGAAATATTCTTTAAAACTGAAATCCTGAACGTTGAACAAAAAAACAGCAAGAAAAGATACATTGGTATTATGGTTCAGAAAATGAAGCAGTTGGTTTTTTTACCATCTCCTGAAAAATTCCGCTTACTAGACTAAGAACATTTGACCAGCTTGCCACCAATATACACATGATAATATAGAGTGACATATCCAGATACAAACACAGACATATTGTGAAATAAGAGTTTATGTAAAAACAGAGACAGACATTGCATATACAGGCACATTATGTAGGATTATAACCCAAATACAAAGACAGAAATTGAGTAGGAAGAGACATATCTGTTATAGATATTAGTAAACTGATAAATAGGGAATACAATGTACTATGGTGATCTAGCTGTTAAGCTGTTTAGGTATGAGGCTATAAGTAGCTGTCTAGCCATGTAGAAGCCACGTAGCTATGTAGCCATCTAGTCATGAAGCTGTCTAGCATTGTACCATCAGCCCTGAAGCGAGTTAGTAAGCAAAAGTCAAACTCACAACCTCCTCTTCATCATCGTCGTCATAGTTCGAAGACAACGCAGACATCGGCCGCCTGCCTTTGCGAGCCGGAGCACTCATTGGTCGGCGCTTGCCTCGCGGTTTGCCGTCGTTGGCCCCGGAGGAAGGTCGTGACCCGGCTCTGGGGCTGATGAACGGCAGGACGTCCGCCTCCCGCTTCCTGTCTCGGGACGCCTACAGGACGGTGGTCAGTTAACCAAACAAGGGGTCAGTCCACACGTGTGGCAAAAGTGGCAACGAACGACACACAGGAAAAAACTCAAAGCTTGCTAGAAACACGTGCACATACACACACATAAACACATACACACACATGCAAAAGACAAGAACAATAAAGGCAGAATGGCCAAAACAAACAAAAAAACAATCATCATCAGTTTGGGAAATATCCTCACTCAAAGCTACATAAAACAGCAAAACATTTCATCACCCAAACACAAGATTAGAAAGAAGACAAAAGTAGCAAGAGATGCAGGAGGGAGTGAGGGGGAGGGAGGGGGGCATTGCTTCAAAATGCGACCCATCACCCTTCAAGCATCGTAATGAAAGTTGCCTTCCATAGAACACCACACAGAATGTGCAGCAAGAAGGAAGAACATTGTGGGCGACACCAACGTGCACTCAGTTAGCGACGAGAAGGTGCAGAGAATGTCCAGAGACAAAAATCAAACGACAAACGAGTGGTGCGAGTTAAGACAACAACCAACACTAAAATCTCACACACAGGTATAAGCTGGCCATGAAAGGTAACATTTGTTTATTCTTTAAGCTTTTATTTCGCCAAAGGTCATCTAATAATAGATTGTTTTGGCAGTACAAACACGGAACCAATTTTATAAGGGGTCAAGGTCAAGTGTAAGAGAAGAGGGGACTTTTCTTTTCTCTGATCTATCAGTTTCAAAAGTTGTCAAACCCCAAGTCACTTCATCATCCTGATAAGCGGAGAAAGAGCATTAACCCTTTGCAGTCACAAAGCCAGCAGTGCAAAATACCCCCATCTGGTCACCCAGCCAGGAAAGTAACTGCAACAGACTTCGCGCCAGGAGACCGGAATTGATAGTATTCACCGTCGCAGGATTGCGCAGAGTGACTGCAAAGTGTTAAAACACCACGCGACAAAAGCATGAATCAGGAGAGAAAGCTTTCACTCCCACACTGATCACCTGCATCATAACATTTCATCTTCCCTCAGACAAGAATACCTGAGTTAGAATTGACTAAACGGGTGTGAGAAAAGCTCAGCTGGAACTGGAAATCAACTTTGTCTGTCTCAAGCATAACTTTGAAGTTCTGACATCAAAAGATGAGGGGAGCAAGGCAAGTAATGACTCAGTGAGAGGGGAAGCATGGAGCACCCCGTCTTCCTAGAACCCCAGTTCTACATTAAAGTATTCAATTAAGAGAGGGGAAGGAGTGACCAACTGATCACTTAGACAATAAAACCAGCAACCAATCAGTTTCTATCGGGATACCTAGAGTCAAGTAAACTTTAGCCTAAAAATGACACTAGCAGATGAAGTTAGAAAGCACAACACGCAAAACGTGCACACCACCAAAAAAAACACAACACTGCTTCTGGTGCTCCTTTTTTTACCCTTTCATGCACGGCAGAAATGTTCCCATTCGATTCATGCACTCTCGCTTTGGCCGAGCGCGTGACTCTGCGGGAGTTACTCGTTGGCGACAGCGACGCTGACTTGCGGCCTACGTGCTTCTTGGGAGACTTTGTCCTCGCCCTTCTGGGTGAGATGTATGGCAAGAGTACTTCCTCGTACGGCCGATTTTTCTCACTCTGACAGCAAGAGGGACAACTTCTACGTCACAATCATTCTTACATGACCACGACATTTAGACCACAACAGAAATAAACAGCCTCTCTACCCTCAGCGCCATCCTGAGACACACCAGTTTCAATCAAGAGTGAAAGAGACCAGTTGCTCTCTCACAGCCCACTTATCTGTCATAATCATCATCAATGCCTTTCACCCCTGGCACGGTATAGGCCACATACAAGCTCCCACTTATCTGTGACACCTGGTAATTTTTTCAATACTGTTCTCCCTAGCAAATGGCTCAACACACACTTTCACATATAAAATCCTAAATGACTGCACTAGGAGTAAGCTTGAAATGACAATACTATATGACTACAATTATAATTTTTATTTAGTTCCTTCCAGCTATCAGCACAGACAAGGAGAGATATTTGATGTTGAAGATCCACCAATGCAGGTCTCAGTATTTTCAAATGTGAGGCGTGCTGACAAAATGAGTTACTTCTCGCAGTCCACAAATGGAGATATTGACCAAAAATTGACACTATTGGGTCAAAATTGTAAATTTTCTATTGATGCCATATTCTTTAAGTATAACACTCCTTTTATTTCATACCTATAAAATATAAAAACTTCACCTATAAGTGTGATGTATCTATTTCTTTAAGGCCTGAATCCGAGAAGTAACTCATTTTGTCAGCACGCTTCACAAATGAAGGTTTAAAAATGAAAATAGAAACACACAAAATGTCAAAAATAAGGCCTCATGAACTCATGAACATTCACACAAACTGATTGTATGACGAATGAAAAAAGTCCTTGACATTCTCTCACCACAAAAAATAAAAAACTTAGAGCGACAGTTTGATATTATAGAGAAAGAGAGACAGACAGAGAGAGAGAGAGAGAGAGAGA